GTGCATCGCCCGGAACTAAACCTGAGTTCTCTCCGCAGGTGAACAGGGGTCGGTTTCCATGTTCCCCCTCTTCCTTCTAGATCACAGCTTCTCTCCCCAGAAGCTCGGCTTCTGGAACGGGATCGTGGCCACCGCTTTTTCCATTACAGGCTCTTCCCTGGGGGGCCACCTGGTGTCAGACAGCAGGTAAGTGATGGAAAGTCTTTTCTCTGTTCCCTGGGAATCTCTCCCTGGGGTGGTGGGACTTCGAATCCAGCATCCCCGAGAAGACGGTGCATTTATTCCCTTTCTTGTTCCTCTCTCTCTCTCTCTGGTCTCTGGCAATTGCCCCCGAGGGAGGGTTAATGTTCAGCAGGTCCAACTCCTCTTTTCCAAGAAAGGAGAATTTTCGTAGCTCAGGGTTGACAGGAGGGGTCCGTGTTGCTCTCTGAGCTTGCCAGCTTCCTTGCAGACATTTCATGAGCTGACTAGGCAACGCCATCAGTTCCAGAAGGGAGTGGAGTTGCCTCTTCCAGCACTGAGGAGGCTACCTAGTTGAGTAATCCAATTTCTGCAAGAAAACCATCAAGCTCAGAGAGAACCAAGGACCCCACAGTCCTCCACCTCCTCCTTTCCTCCCTCCCTCCCTTCCCTCTCCCCTCCCCCTCCTCCTCCTCCACAAACCCCTCTCCCTTCTAGCACTGATGATGTTACTTAGGTGGGTCATAAAACGTCTGCAAGGAAACAGCCGAGCTCAGAGAGCACCAAGGACCCCACCGTCCTCCTCCTCCTCCTCCTCCTCCTCCTCCTCCTCTTCTCCACAAACCCTTCTCCCTTCTAGCACTGATGATGTTACGTAGCTGAGTAATCAAATTTCTGCAAGAAAACCACCAAGTTCAGAGGGCATCCAGGACACCACAGTCCTTGCCGTCGTCGTCGTCCTCCTCCTCCTCTCCACAAACCGTTCTCCCTTCTAGCACTGATAGTGTTACCTAGTTGGGTAACAAAATGTCTGCAAGAAAACCACCCAGCTCAGAGAGCACCAAGGACCCCACAGTCCTCCTCCTCCTCNCATTTGGTCTTTCTTGTAGGCCAGTTTGGTCTCTCCAGTAGTCAGTAAGCCTTCCTGATATACTAATTTCAGTGCATCTTCATCACTGTCCTTCAGATATTCTTCCAAAGCCATTTTTTCTTCTTCAACCATCTGATGTACTTGCAGCATTCCACGCCCACCTATTTGCCTTGGTAGATAAAGTCTGTCAATGTCACTTTGTGGATGAAGGGCATGATTCATTGTCGTCGTCGTCATCATCATCATCATCATCATCATCAACAACAACATCATCATCATCATCATCATCATCATCATCATCATCATCATCATCATCATCATCATCATCATCATTATTATTATTATTATTATTATTATTATTATTATTATTATTATACATATGAACACAGAGGTATATATTAGTAACAGTCCATTTTGAATACACAGATTAAATATCCTTGGCTTGGTTCACTCATGAGGCTAACAATCATGGCTGACTGAATGTCTCTGAGGATTCTCCGTCATCCAGGTCAGGGTTGTCCCAAAGATGCTTTTTTTCAAAGGGCAACTGGATTTTCTTGGTGGTTTTTTTTTTTTCTTTGAAAACGTTTCGCTTCTCACCCCAGCAGCTCTTGGACGAACTGAAAACTGAAGAAGTGAAGTGAAAGGTTTTCAAAGAAAAGAATCGCAGGAAGTCCAGTTCTCTTTTTGGGAAAGAAGAAGAAGAAGAAAAAAGCACTTTTGGGATGTAGCCTAGCTGACTGCATCATGCAGAATGGTCTGCCTTCCACCAACATTGTGCTAGGAAGCACATTTTACAAACTGCCTTCTTGCAGACGTTTCATTACCGGACTAGGTAATGTCATCAGCGCTAGAAGGCGCAAACCTCAATCCCTTCTAGCGCTGATGACGTTCCCTAGTTGGGTCGTGAAACGTCTGCAAGAAAACAGCCCAGCTCAGAGAGCATCAAGGACCTCCCCCAGTCCTTCCTCCTCCTCCTCCTCCTCCTCCTCCTCCTCCTCCTCC